ACTGCGGGATAGAGCGTGTTCCCAAGGCCAGGCCCAGCGGTGCCCGCCTGCCACCTGCGGAGGGCCTGCGGCTGGGCCCTAGCACCCCAACCTCCTGCGCAGCCAGAAGGGCTGGGGGTGCTGACCCCGGGGAGCAGGAGGGCGAGGCACACTAGGGAGACAGCGCCTGTGCTGGGGCCAAGCCCAGGGTTCCTCAGGGGCCCTCCTACCAAAGACAGCCCGGGGAGGCCCCAGGGAAGGAGGGAGGAAAACCAAGGGGATGAGACCCCAGGTCAGCACCACCTCAGCCTGGCTGCCACTGCGACTTCAACCACCGATGCGGACGCCCACAAAACCCTAAACCCCAAGACGCGAAAGCGTCCGGCGCGCTCCCGAGGCTGAGCAGGCCGGCCGCGCGGCTGCAGGCTTCCCACCGGGCGCTCGCGGCTCAGGCATCCAGCAGGGGAAACGAATGCGAATTCCAGCGAGAAATGAACAAAAGCTTGGAGCTGAAGACCTAGCGCTTGCCTTTTGCCCACTGACCAGGTAACTAGAACTATCTGCATTATCTCTGCAGCACCGGGTTTTTATTATTTTTATCTAAAGATGTCTCTTTTTGGTAATGACAAATGTGGTGGTGTTTTGTTTGATTGATTGTTTGTTTGTTTTAAAGCCTGGTTTGTCTCAACCCACCTTGAAAGGTTTTTAAATTGTTTCACATCTAGTCAAGTTGAGATTTTTAGGAACCTCATTTTTAACTTGTAATAAAGGCTTACAACTTAATTTTTTCAAAAAAGTCAACAAAAACTTCCTGTTAATAAAGGTCTTAAATAATTGTACTTAAAGTTGCTTTTGTATCAAAATCATATGGTTATAAAACCTGTTCATGACAAATAAAGTAGCGATCTGCTTTTGTTCTTACATGAACGTATGTTTTCCATAATTTTTTTTTTTTTTTTTTTATATCACTGGTCAAGTTTGTTTGGGAAAGTCAATCATTTTCACACATATTTTCATTCATATTCTGACTGACTAGAGTAGGCGCTGGCAAAATATGGCCTCTAACCCAAATCTGGCTCAATGCCTGTTTTGTAAATAAAGTCTTATTGGAACACAGTCGTGCCAGCTCACTTATATTATCCACCGTGGCTGCTTTTGAACTACAGTGGCAGATTTGAGTAGTTGTGACAGAGATTATACAGCCTGCATAATCTAAAATATTTACGATATTTACTTTTACAGATGCCAATAATGCCTTTTATATCCCTTATAGAGAGCATATTTGCTTTCCTCTGACTCCAGCTGCTCCCAGCTATTTGTTAATACTGGAGTCATCTCTACTTTATGTATTGATTGCATTGCTCCTCACTTCCAATGCCAGATACAAGGTTCAACTGATATTTCTTGACATATCCTAAGCCAGGCACCCTTAGAGATCAGCCTCCACTCTAAGGGAGATCTTGCTGAAACAGTCCCCGCTGGGGCAGTGGATTGGTCTGGTGTCAGAATTCTCCTGTGGCTCGGGTCCTGGGCCAGCAGCTCTCAGCCTCTCCGGGCGTGGCTTTCTTGTCCACCGATTCTTGTCTGAGCTTCACCCTTTTGCACCCGCTTCTTTTTCCTGCGTATCTGATGTTACCCACATCCTGAGCGTCGACCACGTGGCAGGACAGTGACGAGACACGCGTTTTAACAAATCTCCTTAAGCCATCTTTGTATTTGTATGACTCTTGGCTACAGCACAAAATGCTCATATTTACTATACACACCTTGTCAGATGTAAAACTGAGTATTTCAAAACAGCATCCGATTAAAAACAGTATCACAGGGAGAGGAATTAGAAAGTCCTTCAAGTGCAGGTTCAAAAATGCTGCAAAAAAAAAAAAAAGCCTTTGTTGAAAAGCAGTAAAATATTATCTTCTAAGAGCTTTAATTTGATATGATTTCTTAATACTGAGGACGACGAAATACTGTTCAACTACCTGCTTCCTACGTTCCTGTGTTTGAAACCCTCCTTGACACCTAAGCACACGGAATCAGTGCAACTGTTAATCACTAGATCCCTGCTTGACCTGCTCTATGAAGTATCTCGTTTTTTATAGTCGTTAGTAAGCATCGTTAGCTATCCTTGGTTCCTGGGGAACTACTAAAATATTTGGAGCAGTTTTTTTTTCACACGTGATAAGTTAGGTGGTCTCTTTAGCAGTCCTGCAGTAAGAGGCTAACGAATAACTAAGCTTGAATGAAATCTCGTGGCTGATTCCCAAACAACGAGGAACTAGCTATAACAATTGGCCCAACGAGAAGAGCTAGCTACCTATTACTGGTTAGCTATTACACAGTAGAAAACATGAATATTTAACTTGACTATTCTTTATCACCGAAGTGCAATAAGCAATATTACAGCACTTTCTTCAGTTTAATGTTTTCTGCTTCTTCTTAATACAATTCCTAGTCAGGTCAAAATGATGCCCTTGTCATAATCTGGTTATTATTTAACAAGAAAGGAATAAAGGAAAGACCAAATTATGTAAGCATGCCATTTATACAGCTTTTCCAAAAGAGCTGCATTTAACACTCTCCAGGTTTGCTCCCTGTTGATTGATGGGTGAAGGGACTGGACCAAGGCGTTTTAGACGCATGCCCAGTAAGGTCTGAGTGCCCGGGGGAAGGCGCCTTCCTGTCAATCACGCCTGGGGGCCAGTCAGTCGCCAGGGTGGGCGTGGCCACCGCAAGTGTGCGCACCCTGAATATTTAAACGTCTCGACAAAGAAGCAGGCTCTCTTCTCTGTCTCATGCACCGGGCCTCAGTGACTCCTGCTGCAAGGGGCTGTGCTCCCCGGGGCCCACGTGGCTCACAGCCACGTGGGGCTCCACACTGTGGACTCTGCTGAGCTACACCCAGCTGCCACATGGATGAAGGCTCTGGACACTGGCCTTGCTTTTGGCTTTGCTAAATCCACAGCTGCCCCTCTTCCAGTTCTCCCTGGGGGCTTCTGAAAATACTTAGTTCAGTGCTACCCCAGGAACCTTGCTCCCACAAGTGACTGAGGAATTCAATCTTCCGGTAACAAAAGAACGCAAAAAAAAAAAAAAAGAAATTCATTCTTTTGGTTTCTGCAGTGCTCTTTTCTTCTCACAAGGGCTAGGAATAATTTGTCATTTGGATTAAACCAATGGGACACCCTACCAAGTGGTTAAAAAGTAACTGAACCATTCAGAAGACCTGTCACTTTGAAAATTTTTGTTCAAGTAGAGAAAGCAGTGGAACAGCTGACTTTAAAATATGAGTGAAACTATAGTTTGTGATAATATAGATTTTAAAAATCCCCCAACCCTTGATTTTCTGCTTACCTGTTTTAATTCTCCCCATTACTTACATCTATTCATAGCCTATCAAGTAAGAAAAGTGTAAATATTTTGAACCCAATAGAGGTGAAGAATATGGATTAGATTTTACATGTTTCTTCTCAAGGGTAGATTATTGTTGGATTCATGCAATTGAAAACCTTGGAACAAAGGTATGAATTTAGGAACAAAATTCTAATTTCCTATTCCTGCTACTTTTTAAAAATTCTTTTTGGTGGCATTTACAAGATCTATCTGTAGAATAAACTAAAATAAAGAGAGTTGCACCTACCTCCAATTGCGCAGAGCAAAGCCAATACTAGAATGACTTCAGGGAGGTCCTGAGGATAAACACTGAACTTATTCTTGACAAAGTCCTCCCAAGTGCCAGTAAATCCTTTGCTAAGAAAAGTGTGATTATAAAGACTGGAATTCAATTCCATCCTGTTGTTTCTCACAGACCATCTGAATCCAACTCTTGTGACGCTCTGCAAAACTCACATAGGATCAAAAGAAAGGAAGATTTGCCTTCTTGGTGGCCTTTTAACGCTTTTCTTTAAAAAACAAACAAACACAACAAAGCCTTATTTCTCCTTAATTATTTCTAGTGGTATCTTAGGGTCTGACAAAATTAGGGATGCCTCCCCTTCCTATGATGCTTTCTGTTTAAATGAGATGAAAAGCTACAACCTCAAGTGATAGAGACTAGCTAGTGTCACCCTGTGTTCACTTAGCATTTTTCACCTGGCATCATCCAACTGCCTGACAAGATTTTTCACCTAACTTGTAGCCAGGACCACAAGCTGGTGCAGGTCACTTAGCTCTGGGGATGGACAACTGAGGAGTTTGTCCTCAGCTTCTCTAAGCCTCTGGAATTATGTTATGTTCATGGCAGCTATTCCAAAGTGGGTAGCAGGATGGGGGAGGATATTTTGATCTCTTCTGTTGTCCTATCCAGACAGAAATTAATAGTTATGATGATATTCAATCATAGCCTTCTTTCACCACCACCCCCCATTCGGAACACTAATAGGTCAGGTTTTCTCTAACTTTTATATATCCATATAGCAACTAAGAACATTAAAAAAATATCGAAACCAAAAGGATGTAAAACAGGGGAGTTGTTACATGTTCTACCTCATTACTTCTTGGAAGAGAAACAACAAGGGTCATGATGGATTTTGGTTTGAAGAAATCGATAGTAGCCGCAATCTGCCAATCCCACCTGCTTCCACGGTAAGGAAAGTTTTACACCGGGGGTCTCAAGCTTCCTGAAGGATAGTCTTCCAATTCTCTCTCTCTCATAACAGTGGCTTAACATTTTCTAGTGTCCACTATTAGAATCTGATCTGGCTGCCTTGCCAAGTAATCAATTAGTTTTACTAAATTTCTCATAATCCAGAAATGTCTTTTTTCAGTTTCAAATATATATATTCTTATATGCTCTTTTCAGATTACAGAAACAATATTTTGAAAGAGAAAATTAATTAAATGAATATCTGCTTATTGTAAACATTTTTGACATAAATATGTAAACATTTCAAAAAGCAGAAAATCATCCACAGTTATGTCATTTAGTGGCTCTTATATATTTTATTTACATAGGTGGGTTCATACTTAGTAATCATACCTTATGCTCTTTTCCACTTGGTATCGTGTCAGCAGCATCAAAGAGCCTTGTAAATACCATGAAGGAAGGTTGCAGCATATTAGCACCAATATAAAAGTGCCGACTCGGGTCAGACTGCCTGCACGCAAAGGCCTGGTGGGCTGACGCTTGCAGGGTGAAAAGCTGAGCAACTTATTTCAACTCTGTTGGCCTCCACTTTCCAACCAGTATAGCTTCTAGTCTGTGTAATCTCTCTCCCTGTATTTACTATTTTTACTTGGAATCACCTGGGGAGCTATAATAATGGTGGTGTCTGGGTCTTAATCCCAGGGATTCCTGTTGAAATCAGTCTGAGTTGCAACCTGGGCTCCCCAGGCAATTTTAACGATAGCCAAGATTAGGGACCACTGTGATTCACCCAATACAAAGGCTCAGTTTTTAGTCTCAGTGGCAGAATCTTTTCAATATTCCTGGGTCAGTTTTTGTGAGAAAGGGTATCAATGCCTTTCAGTCAAAGATGACTGGAAACACATCTGTAGCTGACAAGTTTAGCTTGTTTGTTTGTTTGTTTGTTTGTTTCATCTCCCTGAAGGAGAACTTTCACCTTGGGGAACTGCAGGCTGTTCAATAAAAGGATGTAAGAAAGAACTTATTGTGGATATGGGTGTGGCTGGGTAATTTTGAAGAGGGTCTAAGTGAGGGGTTACTATACATTGGGTTGTGTCAGAAAGTAGGGACAATTCTGTGACTGGATATCTCAATAAATTTTCTCTCTAGGGAGGGCAGACTAGAAGGAGCTGCAATGGGTGCAGATGCAGCAGTCACTCATTTTAGCAGAGAGAGGGACTATTTGATATTGTGTGGGTTGTACAGTGGCTTTGTTTCATCTCGCTTTATTATGGTCTCAAAATGAGAATGACCTCAGGGATGTGGATATTCTTTGAGAACACTAATGCCCAATAGGAGAGCAACATGGGTGAGCTGTAAGTGTCAGTCTGACTTGTAACTTTGAGTGAGACCTAGCTGTGAGTGTCACACTGGTGTACTGATGTCAGGAGTGGGTTTTTGTTTGTTTGTTTGATTTTTGTTTTACCTCAAAGGAATCCTAAGTTTCTTAACCTCACTTTAACATGTCAAGAGCTGGGGGTAGACCAGGAGATCTTGATAATAATATAAGTGATAGAGCAGAACAAGCTCAGCTATCCCTATAAGAGAGAGATTCTTAACCTTGGCTACACCTTGGAATCACTTAGAGAGTTTTACAAATATAGGTGCCTGGGTGGCACCCCTAGAGGTTAATTTAATTGATCTGAGGCTGGGTATTGGGAAACTTTTAAAGCTTCCCAGTGATTTAGGGAGCAGCCATTATTTAGAAGTACTGTTCTAAGAGAAACCCATGCCATTGTGATAGACTGGTGATATTTGCTCTTGTTAGTTTAGCTAACAGTAAACTATTTAGGACACTTATTAACTTGTCCACTGTTGCTCCAGGACTAAACATCCTGGGCTTGACAAAAAAAAAAAAAGCATTTTTTGCATGTTTTCAGAATTTAATACAGTTAAGTAATCTATTGTTTTCCAAACTAAAAGTGGGGATTTGTATTCTCATAAGCACTTTCTCATTTCTAAAATTGTTTATTTGAGAACTGTACCAAGAGTTTACACAGTCAATCTTAATAAATCACTTTCAGAAAAGAATAAAATTACTCAAGTCTTTTCCTTGTAATTTACAAATATATAAGCACTATTTGGCCGTGAATACGTGGCAAACACTCAATTTGGCTGCTTCAACCTCTACTTAAAATTCTCCTAACAAATCTTTTCCCTAAGAAATGATCTCACCATAAATTAGCATGTCAATGCTAATATTACTCTAGTTTGATCATTTAAAGGATTTGGGTGAAGAACTAGCAGTGATAACAGTTTTTCCATGTAATTAAAGCTCTTCTTCAGCTTAAATAGACTTTTGACAACTTTGGATAAGTTTATGAGTCTGTCTCATTGAAGAGAAATATTGATTTGTCTTGAAATTACCATTACCACATAGGTTTCCCGCTAAATTCTCTTTGTGTGGAGCTAATTAATGACTGACCTCTCATAAATGGCATGTGGGTTTGTCCTCAACAGTCAGCCAGCCTTTCAAAATTCTTTCTCATGGAGTGGAAGTCATACAAATTCACCCCGTCCCTGAAAATGGGAAGTCTTTCTTCCTCTTTTTTCAAAAAAATGTTTTTATTAATTATAGAGAGAGGGAGAGACAGAAACAACCATGGGCTGCCTCCTGCATGTCCCTTACTGGGGATGGGGCCCAAAACCTGGGCATGTGCCCTGACCGGGAATGCAAGGGTGAGCTCTTGGTGCATGGGACAACGCTCAACCAACTGAGCCACACCGGCCAGGGCTGTCTTCCTCTTCTTAATCAGGACATTTTGTAGGATTCAGGTGGCAAAGTATCCTGAAGAGGGCACTGTGGGATTGCAGTAATCTTCACAAGCTGCCAAGCTCTTGCCTAAGGGTTTATGACAGATAAACAGCTGGGGCTGGCTGATCTCCTCAGCAAACTCTCTTACCACCGGGCACAGCAGCCTCTTACTCACAGACTCTGCAGGTGGGCGGTGCCCTGCTAATCCGGCTTCACTTATTCCTCCCTCTGGGCTCCAGCTCAGCTCCAGACACCTGAGGGGATCCAGCACAGCATCAGTGTGCTTTCCACTCCCAGGGCTTCACTAAGGCGAAGGAAGGGAAGGGGCACCAGCCAGGTGCATAGTTAGGAAAGCTGACAGAGGAAGTTCCTGGAGGAGGGCCAGGGGGCAAGGGGCAGACATGCCAACTGAGCGGCTGGGTGACTTTTGGGGAAGTCCTTGATCAGCTGCCAAAGGAAAAGTGGAAACTCCAAGAGGTACCTGGGTGGCTGAGTGTGTAGCTGGAATGCTTTTGTTCCTCTCAGAGGGGTGGATGGAAAGTACCGGGGTGGGAGGGCAATTCCCAGAAGGGGAGACGAGGAAGGGCTCACCATGCAAAGTCTCAGCAGTAAGGGAGTGAGAAGCGGAGGCAGCCTGTTCCGTTCACCCCGAGCAGGCACAACCGACTGCACAGCCCCGTTGACAGTTACTTGCCGCAAGCCCCGCCCCCCGGCCCGCATCCATTGGCCGTGAGTTCATAACCCCTGACTCGATTGGCTGATGAAACACAGCTGAGGGCGCCGCCCAGCAGCATCCCCCTTGCACACCTGCGGCAGCCTCGGAAGGCTTAGGGCGTGCTCATACAGTTCTTAAATAAGCAACGGTGGAAAGGGACCTACAGAAATTGTATTGCTGTGTTAATTTAAAACTTCGGTACAGGGAATTTCTGACAAAGAGCCTATGGACACTGCTTTCCCAGAATTCTGGTAGCAGTGAGTTTCCACAATAAGAAGAGAGGTTGGTAGAGATTTTGAATTGTGGAAATGCAGGTCACT